ACTATTTTGAATTAAAATGGGTCACTGTTTCTCTTCCAAACTGTCCCTGTTTACAACACTGATGTTCTCAAGGTTCTTTGTGCACCTTTCCCAGTTATTTATACAAATTATCTACTAAAGTCACTGGCCCCAATAATTGAGTTTATGATGTAAGCTTACATGCAGACATTAGTTCCGTTCAGTGACGAATATTGTAAAAAACAGTTTGGTGCCCTAAGAATACAGCAGGGACCAACTAAACAGTGTCCCAAATCTCACCATTTTCATCACAAGTTTCAAACTCATGTGTTTCATAAAGCCCAGCTCCTGAAGTCAGGCAGGTACATGAGAATCTCAACTCCACACACCCACCCCACCCCGCCCGCCCCCCTCATAAGTTGCCAGCCTTCACTGGCGTGGAGGAAAATGTGAATGCTAAGGGCTCCAAAGGTAAATAAAAATGCCCCAAATTAGTTATTTTCTAAAAATCTCATTATTTTTAAGCCAATCTCATGATATTTAATACTTGGTATAGAGGACACTGAAGAATAATAATGTAAATATCTATCTCCAGAGTGCTTCACACATATAGGAGAGCGTGCCATCACTGTTACAAGCCATCCGTTTCTACAGCTGTAGCACCACGTTTCCCAAATGCATTCAAGGCTTTTGAAACTGGTATTTATTAAATTGATTTGGGTCTGTGCTAGACCTTGACAATCCAAGCCTGGCTGTATTTTACAGCTAGGTCAATCTATAACAGTGGTTCTCAACCAAAAGTACATGTACCTCTGGTGGTACACAGAGGTCTTCCAAGGGGAACATCAACTCATCTAGTTATTTTCCTAGTTTTACAATAGGCTATATAAAAAGCACTAGGGAAGTCAGTACGAACTAAAATTTCATAGACAATGACTTTTTTATACTGCTCTATATACTATACACTGAAATGCAAGTACAATATTTATATTCCAATTGATTTATTTTATAATTATATGGTAAAAATGAGAAAGTAAGCCATCTTTCCAGTAATGGTGTGCTGTGACACTTTTGTATTTTACGTCTGATTTTGTAAGCAAGTAGTTTAAGTGAGGTGAAACTTGTGGGGTACTCAAGAGAAATCAGACTTCTGAAAGGGGTACAGTAGTCTGGAAAGATTAAGAACCACTGATCTACAAGATCTTTATCAGTCTGACTGCAGGTATGAGAAGAAATGAATGTGACACAATATTCCTGTTTGGATGAAAGATTATTGAAGCATTTAAATTATGGCATCAATTCATTTAGAATCAGAAAATAAATTAATCTCAAGTTTCCAGATGTCTTATTTCTTAATTTGTCAAGACATCTGGGGGGAAAAAAAAAGAGGAGGTCTTCATTACTGTTAAACTTGTTATACGGAGCATTGAGAAAATGTCAATATCACGCTCAGAGAAAGAAGTGTGCCTACTACAAGAATGATGGAGAAGGGCTTTAGAATGAGATAGCAGAAATCTGTGATTTAATAGAGAGCTGTCTGAATTCCTATCTATTAAATTTGTATTATCTTCAAAAACAAATAATGGAATATAAAGGAGGCTAAAGACCCCTTACTTTACTAGGTTTTTGCCTGGAAATCAATTTCTCTTACATATAAGAAATAGCACTTAGCAGTATGGATTTTTGAGTCTCATCCAAATGCAGAATGATTGCTGTACACACAAAACAATTGTTTATCAAAAATTTCACAAGGATTTTTGTTAAACCCACAAACTGGAAATAAATAGTTGCATGATACGCCACAGTTTCACTATCAAGGAAATGATTAGTGTGTTTAAGGTGTTCTAAACATGGAAACCATAAACATAGAAAAATAGATTGTCTAGTCAGTCTCCCTGTTAGTATACCTAACGAGGTTTTTTCTCACTATTGTTAATGATTCTCTGAATATCCAAGGCAAACTAACATTATTGTATATGGCTCTAATCCTGCAGACACTTGCCAAGGTCAATAGTTTTACACTTCTGAATAGCCTCATTAAACTAACCACAAATTTGCTGGACTAGGGCCTGAAGTGTTTTAAAACTTTGTTAACGTGAAAGGGACAAAATGACTTGTATCCTCCTAACCAAAATAACCATCTCCTGTTCTTCTCGGCTCTAGAAACAGCCACCTCAAGAACAGGGAAGGATATGCTTGTTGTGGAAGTCAAGCTGTATTGCAAAGTTAAAGATCAACTTGCTGAGGGACAAGCACTTCATACATTGACCCTCTGTGCTAAAGACTCAAATGTTGTAGGGAATGAGGAAGAGTGGTAGGGTAGATCTCCTTGGGTATTTCGGTGGGCTTTTACGCCTACATACTCAGAAACAAAAGTATGTGAGTACTTATAGCCCTACTCTCAGTTTTCTCTCTCTCATTTCTGCTTCCAGTCTTCTTGTACCAGTGGTCATAAGGGCAAGGAAAAAGGGCCAAGTCCAGCAAGCTCCTACTCAGTTATGGTAATTGGAGAGCTAAATGTCCAGGCCAAACATATGGAAGAGAGACTGAAGGGATATGAAAAGTTAGGCGGGTAAATCCTCTGGGGAAAACCAGCCTGCTCGTGTCCACAGGCACAATGCTCTGCCCCTCTTTTCCAGCCAACTCAAAATCTTCCACAGGACAATGAGTGCATATGCCTAACCTCCCACCCCCCACACCAAAGCTTCTGGGTTTGTACATAAAGGTCCTTGGCTCCTGGCAACAGTACAGATAAGAAGCTGTAATGCCAACTATCTAGCACATGCTGCCACCCCTCTTGAAGTTATTTATAATGCTGGCTTCAGGGGAATGGTCTTTCATAGAACAAGGAAGGAAAGCAGCAGCTTGTATTGCAACATTTAGAAGAAATATTTTTGTAATTATACATTTGGGACTATCATTTATTGATCTTTATTTTAAAACAGAGTATTAGTAAAATGAATTCATCTGTACTATAATGGGTAATACAAACATTGATCCTTCAGCCTGATCCAATTCCTACTGAACTCATTAACTTTAGTGGCAGCTAACCCTTAGTTCTTGTACATTTGCTAAAATGTTTGACTATTAGTTAACTGATTACATCTCAACTAAAAAGTCAGTGAAAAAGTCTGTGCACCCACAGTCTCCAGCTAAAGTACTTGCAACTTCTGAATAGCAATGTTTAGTGAATTTCTGCAGCATCAACAAAAAACAGTCTCACTCACCTCTTTTTGTAAGTAGGAAAAGCAAATAAGTGCTGCAAAAAGGCATGGCAACAGAAGAATTCTTCCACTGGCAATGCTAATTACAAACAACTCTAACTCTTAAAGGAAAAACTGAAGCCACCATGTGAGGCTTAACAGCATAAATGATCACAGGATATTAAGCACTTGTCACCACATTTAATTGCAGTGGGCTGTGTTTGAGCCAAATAGTGGTATAGTTCCTGCATGCTTCACATTTGTAACAGTTGTGACAGTAGCAGTAAAGGGAGTAAATGTAATAGCCCAAGCCAATTTCCTGCTTCAGTAATTGATAGTTCAGTGATTCCAATTGTAATTAACAGTGTATTCTGGGAGATAAGCGCGCCTAATTTTGTTACCTTTCGCCCACCCTGCTGTGCTGAGCAAAATGAGGGCAATTTCTGTATAAAACAAATAGAGTAAGCAACTTACATAGCAATTTGCATCTTAAAAATATTTTACAAACATTATTTAACCTTCCTCATACCCCATTGTGACAGGTGAGTGTTATTCCCTTTTTACAGGTGGAGAGAAAGAGGCACAGAGAAATTAAATGACTTTTTCAAGGTCACAGAGTTCCTGACCACTACTCAGAGACATGAGGGCTTGAAGGGAGCTCGAGAAGTCATCAAGTCCAGGCCCCTGAAGAGGCAGGACCAAGTAAACCTAGGCCATCCCTGACAGGTCCAACCTGTTCTTACAAAACTTCCTGCGATGGGGATTCCACTTCCCTTGGAAGCCTATTCCAGAGCTTAACTACCCTTACCACTAGGATTTTTTTCCTAATATCTAACGTAAGTCTCCCTTGCTGCAGACTAAGCCCATTACTACTTGTCCTACCTTCAGTGACATGGAGAACAGTTGATCACAGTCCTCTTTATAGGTCCTTAACATACCTGATGACAGTTACCAGGCCCCCACCCAGTCTTTTCTCAAGACTAAATGTGCCCAGTTTTTTTAACCTTTCCTCATAGGTCAAGTTTTATCATTTTTGTTGCTCTCCTCTGGACTCTCTCCAGTTTGTCCAAATCTTTCCTCGAGTATGGCACCCAGAATTGGACATAGTACTTCAGCTGAAGCCTCACCAGTGCCGAGTAAAGCGGGACAATTAGCTCCTGTCTCTTACATACAACACTTCTGTTAATAAATCCAAGAATGATATTAGCCTTTTTTGTAACTTCACATTGTTGACTCATCTTCAACTTGTGATCCATTATAACCCCCAGATCCTTTTCAGCATTTTGTAGCTGTGCATTTGATTTCTTCGTTCTGTGAAGTACTTTGCACTTATCTTTATTGACGTTCAGCTTGTTGAATTCAGGCTGATTCTTTAATTTGTCAACTTTTTTTAATTCTAATCCTGTCCTCCAAAGTGCTTGCAACCCTTTCCAGCTTGATGTCATCCATAAATTGTATAAGTCTACTTTCCTCTCCATTATCCAAGTCATCAGTGAAAATGTTGAATAGTCCAGACCCAGGACTGACTCCTGCAGGATCCCAATAGATACATCCCTATTCTAATAGGGAATCATCGATAACTACTCTTTGAGTACAGTCATTTAGCCAGTTGTGCACCCACCTTATAGTAATTTTATCTAGACCACATTTCCCTAGTGTGTCTCATTCTCAAAAATACATTAGCTGAGGTTTGCTCTTTTTTCTAAAGCTGAACAATCACGAACACATAGCCCTATTTTCAATTCATCTGGTTTCTTCTAGTGATCTTTCAAAGTGATGTGTGAGTACAAAAACCAAATAAATAAAATGAAAAAATTAAAGTTCAAATGCAATTGCTCCTTCAGACTATTTAGAAAAATTTGTTTAATGAACAGAATTCTATAAATAGTAACTTTCTGTAACAGTTCTCAGAACAATCTTACCACTTAAGTAGTAGCAGCAGTATCACTACCAAAATGCAAATTCTTTAAAGCAAAAAAAAAAAAAAAAAAAGACCAAACAAAACACCACACATCTAGAGTGAAAAATAACTGTCTTTACCCCATCTTACACAATATTTACATTTTCCAGTGGGATGTCTTTAAATGCAGATACAGCACACATTGAAACCCATTACAAACATTAGAAGCAATTTTCAACTGAACTACAATTTTTTTCTGGAAGATTGGATTGTTGATTCCATCACCTCTACATAATGCCATGTTTGAGAAATATTTTCCCCATTCTAGATCTATTCCATCTTGTCATTTAGTAACGTTCATTCACTAAACAGCAGAGACTAGTTTCCAAAATTTTAATTATAACTGCAAAAAGAACACAAAATATAAATGTGCATTATATTTGGGATTGATCAGAGAGATGCTTTACTTCAAATCTGTCACTTCCTTTTGGATTGGGTAGAGGGGAAGAAATAAGCAAAGGGAATTACAGTGAAAACTAACAGAAACACAAGCTTTTTCCCACCAATTAAATTAGAAAATTCAAACAGTACTTTGCCAAACAAATTTCAATATGTGATCCAGGAAATTGCAGTTCCCCACAGAAGTGTTGCATTCTTAGAATATCCTAATGCCCTTCTGTTGTACAGAGAGTCAGTTAAACAGATAAGACAGTATTTACAAGAGACCCAGGATTGGCAGCTCCTACTCCTGGATTAACAGATACATTAAAGTCCTTTAACCATTCATAGCTCATCGTGTTTTGCAGGGTCCATGCTGGGTTTAATGAAAACTCCTTCCATTGCCATCCAGTAGTTGTGATGATTAGGAGAATGCATGCCATGAACTTCCCGTTGGCCTCTGATTGGGTGGCCATATTGTTCTCCCGTTATTGAAAGGAAGACGTCAGTTCCTATGTGCTTGAAACGCACTGCATCCTCCCGCTCCCAGTGTGTCCCACTGCACTGTACTGTCCATATATCCAAGTCATCTCCTTCACCATCATCACCAAAGGCACTTACTTCCTGAATTAGAAATAAGGGAACACCAATGATACTTAAGACACCAATCACTCAGCCAGCAGGGGGATTGTAAAGAGAAGGGTAGGTGGGAAACAAAAAGTGATGTTGTATTGCTTTTATGACAATGGATCTAACCCGGATGGGATAATTTGGCCCCTCTATAGTCCAGAGGTAAAATGCCCAAAATAAAGGCATTATGAACAAAAATAAAACAAGGGAAACGGGACAATCCTTTCAAGAAAAAAACAACACCTTGAAATCTAAAGAATAAAATACTCCTCAGATACAGGGCTCACCTTCCTTCCTCTCAGCAAGATAGTATGGCATCAATCAGGTATTTAAGTCATTCTTAAGAAACATTTCCTCTCCGTCATTTATTTTATTACTATTTATATCGCAGTAGCGCCTAGAGATCCCATTGTGTGAGGCACTGTACAAACACACAGTAAAAAGACAGTTCTCAAAGAACTTAGAATCTAAGTAGACAAGACAAATGGTGGGAGACCATGTGACTTGCCAAGGTCACACAGTAGGTCTGTGACCAAGTCAGAAATAGAACCCAGGTCTCATGTATCCCAATCTAATGTCCTATCCACCATACCATGCTACCTCGCAGGAAGGAAGACTCTAGTGAATACTTATGGAAACCCACAACAGCTAAATAAGAAATGTATTTTAAGACATACACTGGAACCCCGCTATAACACGCCCTGTGATAACGCAAATTCGCTTATAACGTGGAGCGAGTCTGGCCCCGGCGGCTGCAGCAGGCGCGGGGCGTTTGGGATCCATGCCCCAGCAGCTGCAGCAGGAGCAACTCTCCCTGCAGCCCCGGCCTGCCCCTGGGGTTCTCACCTCTGTCCCCGGCAGGGCCGGCTCCAGCCCGCATCCTTCCCTCCGCGGACCGATGTAGGGGGCGGCAGCGCGGAGGAGGGAAACGCCCTGCTGGGAGCGGGCTGCAGGGTGGTGCGGAGCCCTCCCGGCAGTCAGCGCGGCAGGCCGGCGGTGGTAGTCTTCGGGGGCCCCGCTCCCCTGGCCAGAGCACCGGCCGGAGCGCGGCGAGCCCCGCGGCTCCGCTCTCCCGGCCGGAGCGCAGCAGCCCCGTTCTGCCGGCAGGACTCTGGCCGGAGTGCGGCCAGCCCCGCGGCTCCCCCCCCACCCCCGAGTCGACAATCTCAAGTGCCGCCCCAGGAATCGGGCCCCACCAGCCCTGGCGGCAGGAGGGGCCGAATGGCCAGCGCCCCAGCTGAAGGAAGCCCTGGCCGCCCCCCTTCTCTCTCTCCCTCCTCCCTCCCTCCCCCTAGCCAGGACGCGGAAGCTGAACACAAGTACAGTGGAACCCCGCTATAACGCGACCCCGCATTTACCGCAATTGAATTTTTTGGACCCCAATGATCGCGTTATAGCGGGGTTCCACTGTATTTTCAAATTTTGCAGAAGCACTTGCTTAATGATGGAGGGAGGGAGCCGGGAGGACTAAGAAGGGGAAACACTGATCTTCAGAGAAATACAAAGATGAAGTGTGTAAGTGTGGAAGCAAAGGGTTCTTTTGATGGGGTGGGAAGAGAGCAAAATGAGGATAGAGAGAGACTTAGGATATGTCTACACAGCAGCTGGGAGGGTTTCCCAGCATGATTAGACAAACTACTCGAGCTAGTGCACTAAAAATAGCAGCGTGGCTAAAGAGCGGCATAGGTGGTGTCTTGGGCTAGCTGCCTGAATATAATTCTGCCTGACCCCTGGGTACGTACTCGGGCAGGTAGCCGAGCCACTGCAGACACATTGCTATTTTTAACATGCTAGCTGGAGCTGAACTAGTGTGTGTCTGTCTACCTGCACTGGGACGCACCCTTCCAGCTACTGTGTAGATATACCCTAAGTGACTTGCCCAAGCTCACACACAAAGTCTGAGGCAGAGTAGGTCTCACAAGTCCCTGGCCAGCATCCAAAACCCTGGACCGTCTTTAGTCTCATGCTGGTCTCTAGCTTCGCAAAAACTTTTACTTTACCAAATGACTGCTCCAAATTAGGGTGAAGACTATTTTAGATATTTTTTCCACACACAAGAGAAATTAATAAAGCACAAGGTTTGAAGCACAACTCACCATCTTACCTGATTATTGGACAGCGGTGACGGGAAGTGATGTGTGTGTAAGTTTTTTCCTGTGTTAACATGGGTAAGTCGGATTGCTTGCCCACACTTCACTGGTGTTCCTCGTTGGCAAGTGTCGTCATTTTTCCCTCGAATCCGCCAGTAACTGTTAGCATCATCTGAAACTTCAACTCCAGTCACCGACTGCTGCCCACTTCCTGTTTCAAAATAATTTAAATGGTAATTGACCTAACCCACCTTTCTCCAGTTCAGGGAATCAAAAATACTTTATTACTAAAGAACATCAATCTATTCAGACTAATAATTGGAGGGGAACAGCAAAGGAGGGTTGCAAGACTAATTTCCCTTCTCGCCCTATTTTTACACCACTCCTGAAACTAGTACAGCTTCTAGATCAACATCCTCACCTGTGATGCAAACCCAGAAAAAAATATATACTGAACAGTTGAGAAGCAGAAGAGTCACTAACACACAAATATTACCAGGGGATAACACGATTTTCCCGTGCCAGGATTCTCATAGGTGTTGTGCCCTCACATCTCCCCTACTGACTTCAGTGGGAGTTGCAGGTACTCTGCACCTTAGAACAGTGGTTCTCAAATCAGGGGTCCAAGGCCCCCAAGGGGGCCATGAGCAGGTTTCAGGGGGGCCGCCAAGCATGGCCAGCATTAGACTTGCTTGGGCCCAGGGCAGAAAGCTGAAACCCCACCGCATGGGGTTGAAGCCTGGGCCCTGAGCCCCGCCACCTGGTGATGAATCCAAAGCCTGAGCAATATAGGGGGGGGGGGCGCAGCATGAGGCCCCAGGCAATTGCTCTGCTTGCTATCCCCTAACCCCAGCCCTGGCTTTTATATGCAGAAAACCAGTTATTGTGGCACAGGTGGGCCATGGAATTTGTATAGCCTGTTGAGTGGGCCTCAGAAAGAAAAAGGTTGAGACCCCCTCCCTGCCTTAGGATATCAGGTTCTGAAGCTGTTGAAACTGACGACTGCTCATTAAATGAAGCATTTTTAAATTAAAGTGACTGTTGCCAATGGCTCCAGACCCCCTTTTGGATACCCCCTAACTGCTCTGAGTGGCTCAGTCCTGGATATTTGCTTACTCCCGCTAAGGAAGGAGTCAGGCTCCGTGGTAAGTGCTGCATGTGAGAACTTGGCTGGTGATGTGGCCTCCAGATGAAAAACGAAACCTGTGGGATACTAGCAGGACACTTTTGCATTTTCTCCCCCCCCCCGGCTTTGTGCCAGCGGCATTTGTCCATGGGAGCTGCCCTTCCTTTCACCCTCTTCCCTCGCCCCGTGCGAGCCCACTTAGCAGCACTTGCCTAGCAGCCGACTTCTTCAGGAGCCAGCCACCCTCCCCACATCTCCCGCCCCCTTCCGGCGCGGGGAGCGCCCGGGCCAGCCCGTCAGCTCGGCGGGCAGGGCCCCGTCAGGGCTCCCCTCCCAGCCAGGGCAGCCGATCTCAGACCGCCACAGGGCCGGGCTCCGGCCTTAGCCCGCGCCCACCCCGGATACCTCCCCGGCATCCCCATCGGCCTCCTCCAGTCCCCGCCTCCGAGTTCTCCCGCCGCCCCCTTCCTCAGCCCGGCCCGCCGGACCCCTCCCCACCGCCCCCTCAGGCCGCGGCCTCCCCCCCCCGTCTCCGGCCCCGATCCTCACCCGATCCGTACTTGACCTCGTGCGAGTGCAGCCGCACGTTGTGGCGGGTGTTGAGCAGCTTCAGCACCGACCCGCAGGTAACAGCGCCCGGCCCGGGCTCCCTGCCGCGGCCCGGCCCGCACAGCAGCGCCAGGAGCAGCAGGAGGCAGCAGCAGCGGCGCCGCATCTCTCCTCAGCCCGGCGGCCCCGGTGCCCAGCGGCTCCACACACAACCAACCCGCCCGCTTCCGCAACCGACCGGCACCCCGCTTCCGCATCCCGGCCAATCATACGACGCCAGCACCGCAGCCTGCCAATCCCCGCCCGCCTCTCTTCCAACATCGCCTCCGCATTGGGCCGCCACCTGCCGACCGCACAAAGCGTACACGAAGGAGGAGCCCATTGGCCTAGGGAAGATGCCAAAACAACCAATCAGAAGAGGCGGCGTGGCACCTCTCAGGGAACGGACCCAGAGGGAAACTAAAAGTTGGAGTCCAAGGGAATTAGTCAGTGGGGGCAGGTGGGAGCTAACAGGTGGGTTGGACCTTTGATACGTGGGGCTACCTCATGGCCAGTCCCTGCTATAGGGATTGGCAGCAACAAGAGGCCCAATTGTCACTCCTTGCGGTGCCACATAGCCAACCCACTCCAAAACATCAGCGTGTTAACCTTGTGCCTCGCCACCCTCCCCTGGCACCCGCACATCAAGCAAAGCATCAGCATGCTTCAAGGCCAGGCAGGGACACTCCCCTTGCACTGGAACATCAGCATAGTACCATGAGTAGAGTTGATCTGACTCTTTTTATCCACTGAAAATTCCTACCTTTCAAAAATAAACAACCCCTCCCCCCCAAAACTGGAAAATCTTCAGTTTTCAGACAAAAAACCCAACACAAAACAAAAAAGATTGCTTTGAGGACAGCAAGCACGTTCTGCTAAAATATTTGTTTAGTTGAAACCCCAATTTTCAGTTGCAAAAATGTAAATGGAAAGTTGTTGCCCAGCCCTAATGATAAGGGGAAAACGGGACCCTCAAATGGCCTGGCAATGAGACTGGGCTATTAAATAACATGGCATCCTGGAAATAACAGTTCCAAGAAGTTCAGTGAGCCTCTCTGCCACATAGTTCTTGTCGTTCTCAATGCCACATTTAACAAAGGGCTGAAAAGAAAAGTCAAAATATTGTAGCAGATTGGTTAGTGTGTGTGTGTAACACTGCCCCTGTACTGGATAAAAGCTTCTCAACCATGTGGCATAGCCAACATATTGCTAACAGCTAATAATGACTTTCATTCAGCTCAAGTGATTGTGTGCCTGTGCTTTTGGAGCAGAAATGTCACTTTTTTATCCCAAGTGCTACTATGAAGTTATTGTAGCATAAAGCAATTATTAAATTATAAAAACTATAACAGAAAAGTACTCTGTATAGAAAGTAACTGAGACAATGAATGGATCCTTTTACACTTCTAGTGCAGTTCTGCAGACTGAAGCAAATTTTTTTTCCTTACATGGTTCTGGAAAGAAGAAGAATGTGTTTCTCATCACTTTATCTACAGGAGCAGCTGGGGCAAGAGGTGACACTGAGGGAACTATAATGTGGGCTCTCTTAGGTATGCATCTGATAGTGGATACAGGGCCTGTAACAACATACCATGTTCATTGCTGGAAGCATGGTGTGAGGATGCCAAGCTACCAATTTAATGCTCCTATGAGGGCAACATAGGTAATTTTCTTGGGACAAAGCAAAAAGTCTCCAACCCTCCAAGCCACAAGGAGGTAAATAGGAATGGAATTGCATGTGTGCAGAAGTGGGCTCTCCTCTAAGTTATCCTGACCTGGATAGTTTGGGCAGCACATCACCATTTTGGGCTAGTGAGAGCGTCATGAGATACTCAGCTGACTCCATTTTCCACCAGTGCTGAATCCGTCAAGCCCTTTGCGCCCCACATGATGCAACTCATTCATTCGCTCACTCAAAGGTTTGTTATTTGAGTTGTTGATATTAACCTATTACATATGTAGAGAAGTGTCTCTGACTTTTGGTTCATGCGTGTTCAAATTGCCTGTTTTAAATTAAGCTTCAGTCCTAAATCTCCCTCAACCACAACTGTACCCCTACTCCCTACACCATGTACATTTCTGTTCATCAGAAAATCATTTTCTATTGCTTGATGTTTGTGTCTGATCCAAAAGAATGCAAATGAGTATGGTGCATTGTTTGGCACTTGAAACCTTATTTCTGTTTCTTCTAAGAGGCTTTCCTCTTCTTCTAACTAAGACAACAGCTCACTTTTGTTACTGTTTTTTAAACAGGGCAAAACAGATGTCTGTGGTTGCCGTTTTAGCCATGGAAAATCAATCAAATGGAGCTTTAGCTGGCACCTGTTTATCTTTCTGGGAGGTCACTAACTCCGAGTGCATTTAGTACAGTTTATATGGTGCTCCCTACAATGCGTTTCAGTTGTACTTTAGAAACATAATTGGGTTAGAAAGCTTGCCAACAAAGAACCCCATTGGTGCCAAACAACTAGGGCAATTAACAACCACATTATTGCTATAGGAACTGTTGTTGTTTTTAGTAGGCTGCTGTGAGCTGCAGGTAAACTCTCCCCTGAAATTATATGGTGGGGGTGGGATTGAGATATATGCTTCTTGGAGGGGAACATTATAATTTCTCTTTATGCACATGAAACAAAGAACTCAGTGAAACTGAACCAGTATAACAGACCAGACCAGCAAACAGCTAGAATGCTTTAGACCCTTAGTCACTTACAGGGCCGGCTCCAGGCACCAGCTTAACAAGCAGGTGCTTGGGGCGGCCAAGGGAGAGGGGCAGCACCTGCGGCAATTCGGGGGCGGCAGGTCCCTCACTCCCTCTAGGAGCGAAGGACCTGCCGCTGAACTGCAGCTGCCGATCGCGGCTTTTTTTTTTTCCCCCCCAATTGCTGCCACCGATCGCAGGGCAGAAATGCTGGAGCCGGCCCTGGTCACTTAATCTTACAGTCCTTAAGTTGTAGTCTTGATTTTTAGAGATACTAAGCACTCAACTTCCTTTACACTGTACTTGTGGCTACTGAGCACCCATGAAAATCAGGCCATAATTGACTTTGCAGTAGGAATCAGTCCTGTATTAGAAGTGCAGGGACCCATAAGATACAGGGGTGTACCTTGAGAGGAGTATTTTGGCACAAAGCACTTTATTTTACAAGAGGATTTTCCTTTCTATTATATTGGTCTTTGTGAAACAAGCTTTGAGCTTTCTGTTTAGTGTGTATGACAAAAGCACTAACTGACAATGAGGCTAACATGGCAGGCAGCTCTCAGGTTTGATCCACACCAAATTGTACCGATTTAGCTGGACTCATGACACTTCATATACAAGTGCTTGGGTATGAAGAATGTGATAGGACTCTTGGCTTCTAATCCTCAGATTCCTGCTAATCTGAGGCAAGACATTCAGGGCCTGATCCAAAGCCTGTTGAGGTCAGTGGGTGTAAATTAGGAGTCATTCCACTGAAATCAGTGAAATTACAGTGGGAAGAAGGAAATTACCCCCCTAACTGCTCTGTGGCTCACTACACCTATTTTCCTTTGCCACCTTCTTTCCCCCCACATTGATAAACTGGTTGTAATGATGCTTCTCCAGATTGAGTACCGTAATTTTATTATCTCACTTCATTTAGCATAATGGGGCCCTGATCTCAGCTGGGGCTCTAAGCACTGCAGTACTATAAATAATAAATAATAGTAATAATCATAATAGGAGTCAATCACCCAAGGAGAGCTAGATGTAGTTAAAAGAAAGGGTAGATTGCAAAGAATTTTTGGAAATGTATAGCTCCCTGCCCCCTAACTGACATGTCATTTGTGGAGTGGGGGCCGATAATAGGTATTCAGGAGTGTTAGCAATACATGCAAATAAATAGAAGAAATTTGACAATAAAATACAAATATATTTGTTTTATTTTAAACTGGTAGGGTTTCAAATTTTGGGGAGAACAGTTGATGATTTTCGGCTGCTGTCCCCTGTGATGCTAGTCCTTTGAGAAAATGAGGATTGCCTTAGAGATTCTACAGAATTCTGGCCTTCAGTGTCCGGTAAAATAGTCGATGATTTTCTATTGCTCCCCTCCATGATGCTAGTCCTTCTAGAAGATGAGGTTTGCCATAGAGGTTCTACAGAATTCTGGCCTTCAGTGTCCAGTAAAACAGTTGATGATTTTCGGCTGCTCTCCCTAGTGATGCTAGTCCTTCTAGAAGATGAGGCTTCCCATAGAGGTTCTACAGAATTCTGGGCTTCAGTGTCTGATAAAACTGTCGGTGATTTTCTGTTGCTCTCACTGGTGATGCTAGCCCTTCGAGAAGACAAGGATTGCCTAGAAGATTCTATAGAATTCTGTCCCTCAGTGTCCAGTAAAGCAGCAGATAATTTTCTCTGGCTATCAATGGGAATGATAGACTTTCCAGAAAATGACATTTGTCTTAAGGCTTCAACAGAATCCAGACCTTGCAAATCCTCTCCACTTTGTGGTATATCATCGGGGAATTTTAGAGGAACTATTTCAGTTATTTCTGGCAGAGAAGAGATGTTTTGTTCAGTGGGTTTCTCAATTAATTTTACCTTGCCAGTGATCATTTTTGGTTTAGAATGAGCGGTTTTTTTGTCACCACTCTTTGAACTAAGTTTTGGGGGTTTAGTGGGTCTTTTTGCATGTACCTGCTGATATACCTCAGCCCAATCAATCTGTGATGATAACCTTATGCCGCTGCCCTTTAATTTTTTAAAGCCAAACATTATCTCAAGGAGTATCTTTGTTACAGGAACTGAAATAAACCCAAGTTTCTCTGACAGTGACTTTTCATAGTTATACTTGTACAATACATGTCTGGCTGCATTTTCAACAAGAAAGTCAACAATCTCCTCTTGTCTTCTGTAAAGCTTGCCTTTCAAGCGTCCACCTGATAGATCTTTTTTTAAAATCTGTCTGTAAAACCGATGTCTTGAAAGAAAACGACCAGTAGACTATCCATAATTTCAATGGGCAAAACAAAAAAAAGGTTATTCATTAAAAAGTCTATTTAATACCAACATTTTAAATGTAAAATTTAGTAAGTTAAGTGTTTTAAACCTATGGGGCCCAACTCTGCAACCACTCACTAGTATATCTCCATGGATTTCCATGGAGCTATTCTTGATTTATACCAATCTGAGAGCAGAATCAAGCCCTTTGGGCCAAGTTCTGCTCTCTGTTAGGTGTAAATTGAAATCAGTAGAGTTAGT